TATATTTGATTGTCTGATTATCTGATTGCCTGATTGTCTGAATCGGCTTGTTCCGTTTGAGGAAAATCTTCGATGAGTATCAAATACAAAATTGAGCGAGTATCAATATCTTGATTTAAATGTAGACACGAACAACGGAGAAATAAATAAATGAAATACGAATGTGTTTGAAATACCATTAAGATTATATTTACGGCACTTTTAAGATGTCAGAATAACACCTCAGAGCATTTTTACATCATCTAGATGCACTCTTCTTCTGCCAGTGACGCGCGGATTAAGCAAAACGAAAAAACGTTTGGACAATGCTTGAAATTTATTTGGCATGCATCCTCTATCGAGAGCAATTTACATGCATTCGCGTATTTTTTTCTGCGCCAACGTAGCATTATTTTATACGTAGCATTATTTTATATCACAAATCACCCACAATCGCCATTTCGCCCGAAAAGATCTTCGTGTTTTCGACGCGAGTTTTTAATGTCGAGTAAAATTTCGATTTATTTTATTGTAAAAAGTATCATATATTGTAATAAATGCTCCGAAAGCTAGATTTTGCACAACTTTGTCTGATGTAAATGGAGTTTTGATAAACAGAATATTTTTATCAATCATTTTATGAGAAAATCACGACTATTATTTTGCTTTATATCAAATTCTTATATTAATTATCTTCTTGTATTTGGCATGAAATGTACGATAATATTATCGGTACATATTAATATATTTATACTAACAAAAAAGATCAATTGTTTATTTTTATCAAAAAGTGCCGATCAATATTAGAGCCAATATGTCAGATATTTGTTTTAATAAACTTGAAACTTTATTAAATAAATATGCATATTTGCAATGTTTTATAGATTTATGATTCCATTTAAATTTTATTTTCCAATAATAACATTCGGCAGTCATTGAATTTGCGTCTGTTCACGTTACTAATTCACGAGGATTTTATATACGTAATCATCATACACACAACATATTATATATACACACGATTATATCCATTAAATTTAGCGGAGTATGAGGGGGAAAGAAGATAGGAATATTAGTTAGATCTTGGGTGGCGTTGTTAAGGCCAAACAAGATCACATTGAATTTTTTAAATTGAAATCCCTATTTTTTATTGCATATTCTTGTAGCTTATCTCGAGAGCTTTTCAAAACATTATAATAAAGTATTTTTTCATTAAGTATTCTTCGAGTTATTTTATATCTTAATCTGACATATTTTGATATAAAAAATAAAATATCTCATAAAATACTTAATGAAAAAATACTTTATTATAGTGTTTTGAAAAGCTCTCGAGCTAAGCTACAAGAATATGTAAAAAGAAATGGGGGTTTCCATTTAAGAAATTAAAGATAACCTTCACGTGACCTTCAAACGACTATCCAAGGTCAAACCAATGGCACCTTCTTATGTCCCCCTTCGAGTCAAATAACTTTTGTCCGAAACATTTTTTTTTTGAAAATGCATGGTTTTCGAAATAGTACGGTGTGAAAGTTAAAATTGGATATCTTGTAAAAAAAATATATGCGATAAGAGAGACTTCTCTGCGTCTCTTCAAACGAGCATTTTTGTCTGATTTCTTGGAGATAGCACTCATTTCTGCGTCTGTTCATTCATCGGTTCATCTCTGACATTCGTCAGGTTCGCAAATCTAGAAGTAACGTCGCGTTAAACTCAATTAACGAGCAAACGCACGTTCGTGACGTCGTCGTTGCCGTCGTCGGACCGAAACGGCGTTCGAATAACTCGCGACTGTAACTCGGAGTAAACAGTTACGACGTATAATTGCATAAACATTAACAGAGAGACGCAACAAAATACGAACGGCGAAGTTGAGGTTCCACATTCTGAGAGACGATGGTAGATAGGAGAGAACGTAGGCAGGCATGCTCTTGTTTTGCTCTTGCACGGATGACAACGTTGTCGTAGCTGTTCTCAAGGCGCGCTCGTTTTCCCTACGTAAGCACGGAATCCATTTAATTAATTATGAAAGAAGGTGTGGCGTCGAATGAACCAATCCGACCGGTTCGTTTGTCCTCGAGCCTCCGTAGAGCATTTCGATTATTAGCGTGCCGTCTCGATTGGGGCTCAGTGACAGAGAGCGAGCCGTGCGAGGATCGTCGATTCCGTAAATATCTGCGTTATCGCGAGAGATCTGTGTACATTATCTCCTGTGGAGGATACAAGTATCTCCCCACACAGTTCTCTACCGAAAAGATCGGCAGGTGAAGTTTCCACGGGAGATATTTTCCGCTCACGACGAGATGTCCGCATCCAGTTTCCGTGAACGTTGGAACGTTTGCGCCTCTAACATCGCTCGGAGAACACACAATCCTATAAGATCGATCGTGGAAAACATCGTCGTCGAGCCGAATCCCAACAAGCCCATGATCGCGTTGTCTATTGGTGAGTTGACGAGTAAAAATCGTCTGAGTTTTACGAAAATATATATTTGTGTTTCTAAAATCGAACAAGAGAGATTGGCTAAAGAAACCAAGAAGTAAATACAAGAAAATTTGAACCTTATTGTTATTTTACGATATGCTTTACTTTTTTTTTGCAAACATATTATTTTATAAGCTTTTACTTTTTTTCGCTATAAATACTAAGTTGTAATAACTATATATATATATATATCTGACAACATTTGAAATCCCGCTGTAATTCTTTGGCTTTATTCGGCGAGAGGTGAATGAAGTAGAAAAATACGAGATAATGTATCATGATGGTGTAATTAAACGGTTATTTTTTTACGCGAAGAAAAAGATAACAGACATGAACCGACCCGACCGATCATTCTCCATTGAGAAGAAAAAGAAGAGAATTGTATACGTCGTGTAACCTGTATTATAAAAGTTGTGCAGCGATAAGCGTTGCGATGTGCACGTAAAATTACAAAATAATCTATCTTTAGTTTCGCTAATATATGAAACAAGGAAGTAATTAACAGGTATTTCATGCGGAGTATATTGTACAGCGTTTTGCTGCAAAATTGCAGTGACTTATATCTAAAACTCGCTGTACGAAACGTCACGATTCAACTCGTCAGATTGATAAATAAAATTATTATATTTTTATTTATTTTACTTAAGGCACATTGCAAAAAATGCAAATAAAGAGCCACCTACAAAGATGCAATGTTGATAAATGCGAGTAAATGCATACAAATTGCAAACTTTCGTTGTTTCCTACGAGTAGATTTTCAATATGCATGGTCTCCGGTCAGAGCAAAAAAAAAAAAGAAAAAAAAAGTTTGATATATTGATCGGCGCAACATAGGTCAAATATGCAGTGCGAGGAAAATATGCTAGAATATAAAAAAGCGTATTTTGATTAATTCGAAAACTCCGCAGGAATTACGTCGAAAATATCAAAATGCGTTCGATTCAGTCTATATTCGTGTTTTTAAGCATAAAATATTTATATTCTGTTTCGTACGCGATATCTCTCTAGGATAACCGAGTCAATTTTCACTATCAATGGGTAATTTATCATCTTCCTATCAAATTTCAACGATCTTTTTCTAAAAATATTTCAACTTAATATTTTTTTAATAAAATTTAAATGAAAGATAATTAATAGTTGTGTATGTGTGATCTCTTTTATTATATATTACAATAAATTTGATATTGTTAGATTTACAAATATTGGATGAGCTATACCAGTTTAAAGGGGTTTGATAAAATATGGATAATACAATAATTATTATATGCCATTTTTTGCGTGAATGAACGCTATGATCGGTGATTTTTCATAAATTTGCGGAATTTATGTATTTACGAGATGCATGTGATGCACCCGGATGCGTTTAATTTTCTGTTTATGGTCTTTTCATATAACGGAAAAACTTTCAACATTCCGATAACAGCGCATAATTTTGTTTATTTTAATTGTGTTGTCAGATTAAAAATTAAAAATAAGATTTTCTTAACTTATCAAAAATAAAAAAAAAACTTTCCTTGAAATTCATGCTAATATGTACTACATTTTGTTCTCTTTTATAATCTGGTTAAAAAAAAACGTGGAGTTAACTTCTTCGTAAGATCTCCGAGCTTCTCTCTCTCTCTCTCTCTCTTTCTCTCGTCCGGAAGTATTGAAACTTAATACACAGTTCGTTTGGAAAATATTGATACGCAGACACGCGGTGCAAGATAGACAATATTTCGTTTGCCGATTCTACTGTATTTCTAGAAGAAATAACTTTTTTGAAAGTTTACCAAATAAAAGCTTCCCAAGCAATAAAACAATTCCAATATACTTGGGTCGATCAAATTCCTGCAACGCCTAATATGTAATGGAAAAAACGCTACTTCTAATATAGGAAATTTTTTCATGTTATACAATTCCAAACAATTACGTGCATTACAGAAATTAGTACATAAATATGTAGATAGAATAGAATTGTGCTTTTTTGATAATAAATATCATGAAAATAATTAATAGCCTTTTAAAAAAAAATATCAGCTCTGATAATTTCTGGATGCAAGACTTTTCACAGAAAAATTTCGATGTTATATTAATTTTTTCGATTCTATAAACGATTTCGATTTTATATTAAAAGAGAAAAAATTAATTTATTAACTCAATATTTAATAAAATATTGAGAGGAAAACATTAAAGAACTATAGACAGCAATTTAAAACGTTTTTTTTATTTTCCACGAATATTCTTTCGCAATATTTTGTTAGTAAAAATGAAAGAGGCTATGAAACTATTTTAAAGCGTTACGTAAAATTGAAGTATTTCAAGAATTTTTATCTCAAATTGAATTGTATATTTTGTTTGTTTTAATTCTTTAGAAAGTTCTCAAACTTCCCCTGCGGAGATACGCGATTTTAACTATCCATAGAGTTGTATAAGTGATGAAAAGTTAAAAGGCTTTAAAAGTTAAAATGGTAGTGATGCATGAGTCCTCTTAACATTTGGAGCGTACGAGTGATGCAAAATGCGGATGTGTCAGAATGTATCGGAAAAACGTCCTCAGCAAATTTCATACCGAAAATGTATAGAACTCTGACAGATGTGAGCACACTAATCTAAATATATTTCGATACAAATCTTACCCGGATATGCCAGCGATTATATATATTTTCAAGAGCTTTCTTTGATTCTATACATATGCAATTCGAAGGAGATTATAACGTCGGAAAATGGAATAGCAGCGTCATAAAAATATTCGAAGAGTGCTATCTTTTTTGTAAAACAAGATGAAAATTATGCAAATTAGAAACTTGCATATTGCTTCCTCATTAATAATACTCTATCCATGATAAAAAAATTTAACCCGATATCTCAAAATTTGGGAAAGTTAGAACGTGTACAGATATTTCTTAAAAAATTCAAAATTTTATAAAAAATGAACACTTTCACCGATCCTCACTAAATTCAATATCAACCATCCTTTAATGATACTGTATTTATGTAAAAAAATTTAACCCAATATCTAAAAATTTGCAAAAATTAGAGCGTGTACAAACATTTCTCAAAAAATTCAAAATTTTTGGAACATTCTAATTCTAAACAAATTTGCATAGAAAACTGGAAAAAAACTTTGTTACGAAAACATAGCTTCCTCTATGAGGAAGCAAAAAATGAGTAAAACAAAAGGTATGATATTAAACCGAGATTGGCGTAACACAAGAGATTTTTCTAAAATATTTTTATACGTTTTGATGAAAAAGATGAAATTTCAGTAAATTTTGAACGATTCGGAAGTAGTAACCTTTTTGTGAGATTGTTTTTACCGAGAAACAGTATATGCTATGATATGTGTATAGATATGTATAGTGTATCGCTCTCGGTGAAATTTCAGTGTATGGTTCTACCCAAAAAATATTCCAAAACCGGTTTATAAGTTTCATAACATGCTGAAAAGATCGATAGCAAAAACGAGGAATTTTATTACATTTTTTCTTTCTCTATCATATAAGAGAAATGTTTATACTATATTATTTTTGAAACTCATACTTTCAAAAAATCGATTCCATTAAAAAAAAGTAATGCAAATACATTATATAGTTATATCTTGCAGTAAAGAGAGAGCAGTAAAAAAACCTGCATAGATTCTATATTAATAATATTATATATAAGAGCAGGAAGGGAGGGAGACAGAGAGACAGAGAGAGAAAGAGAATATATATATTGATAAAATATATTTAATAAAATCGAAGTTAAAATATGACTTTCTCGAAGAAAAGTCAGGATTATTTTATTTTTTATTTTTTTCTGTTTTCGTAACCCGATAGAAATGATCAAAGTCCATACACTATGTAGAATATTTTTTTCCATATATGAAATAATATACACGCGCACACTGAAAATTAGTTACTTGAAATTAATAAAACCAATTATTCGTGAAAATTCTAGACTTTCGACATTGCAATATATCTGTAATTTATAATTCGCTGACAATTCTCTCAAAAATTTCAACGATTGTATCAATAATAATTGATATCAAGTGCAATAAAAATGTGAGATATAACATGGAAAAATGTTAACCGCAACATTGTCGAAACACGATTCTTCCCGATTAACGGCGACGAAGTTGTAATTACGTAAATTTCGAACTCGACGAGTTCGAATTTTATTTCGTCGCGTTGCCGCTGCGTAATAGAAATTTCGCAACAAGGATTGACTATGACGCGTAGTCTGCGGGAAACAATTAATTACTTCCCATTACAATATATCCAGACCGCGAGCCGAGTAGTGACTGTTTTGTTACACTTTGACAATGCGTCTGTAAATAGCATTTCCTATGGTTATGCTAGTGATAATTCAGTAATCAACGGCACACGTACGCTTAATTAGCTATGTATTATGTGAAACTATAGCGGCAAATGTTTGGCAGCAAACTAGATTTATACGATTAGCGGCTTATCAACTTGTAATCGCGCGATAATCGATATACCAATGTTCATGGTATTTTTTAAATGAATGTTTCATCGTGTTATTCTGCTATTTTGAAGGCGATCCTACAACTTTCGGCAATTTGAAGCCGCCAAAGGAGGTGATCGAGGCTGTGCAAGAGAGCGTGGCTTCGCAATTGTACAATGGATATGCGCCGAGCACAGGTAATATTTTATTCTAACAATAAGATGTACAAGTTTAGCTAAATCGTTATTTAAATATCTATTTAATTTGCGACAAAAATGATAAAAAAATCTGTTAATAATTGAAATTGAAATTACATTTGAATACCCTATTATATTACCGTTTTTAAAATAAATATGCATATATTATTTAAATATATAATTGCTACAAACAATTAATAATTATATATGTCATGGTTATTCATGAGATCAATATATATAATGTAAATTATTAATTATATATTTTACAAGAAATATATATTCACATCACGTATGTTACATCACAAACTAGATATTAATTATGATTATTCAGAAAAGGGAGAAATTGATTTATCCATTATCCACAGGTTATCAGAGGGCGCGGGAAGCCGTAGCTGAATACAGCTCAAATGAGTTCGTGAAAGTCGATTCCAAGGTACGATAGACACGTGCCTATATCGAATATTGATGACAGATCGGCCAACACGTGTCGCGAACTAATTTGAAGTCATTGATGCGTATCCTGAGGTTTCTTGTCACGTGTATACGGTCGTATTTTATTTATTCAACAAGGATATTTTATTGTTATTTATTCAAGAAGAATAAAACGGAGGGCCAAAATTGTCAAAGTTATTTAAATATTAATAAAAGTTTCGGGCGTGTAAGGGAACTGTAAATATTTCTTCCAGTTCGCGAGAAAGGAAAAGGTGATCTAGGTATTACAGGGATTACTTCCGCGACGAGGTCGATTGTATTGTATATTCCGTGCACTCGTACAATCTCGAGGATAGTTAATTAACTTGGCGCTGTAAAATCTCGCGAGATGGAAATCGCGGATGTAGATAGAAAGAGAGAGAGAGATACATCGATAAAACAATACGAAGTATTGAAAACAAATGAGCAGATCAATTTTTAATTTCATAAGCGATTTATTAAATTATCCGAGCAAATATGAAATTATATTCCAAAAACTTTACATAATATTATATTATCGGATAATGAGAACAAGAGAAGAGGAAGAGAGAAAGAGTGAGAGGAAAAGAGAGAAAGCGTAAATTAAATTTACAAGCATAAAATAATATTATTTCTCTTTGGAGAATTTTTAATCGTGTCCTTTCATATTCGTGCTGTATATAATTATAATTATATGCACATAAATATTGTGCATACAGTTTATTTTTCTGTAGTAAAACTCTTGCAATAAATAATTATGTAATATTCCCTTGAATCCACATCAAATCTTTATCTAATTTTTTTTAAATTTCGTATATACTTTTTTTTAAATTTCAATACAACATCGAAATTTATCAAAATATATCGAATAAATTCTTTAAAAAGTATGGAAAGCGCGTAAAAAACGAGAATAATTAAAAATGTTTTTATCGTGAAAAAAGTTATTATTTTTTTGTTTTTTACTGCGTATTTAATATGACGCGAATGAAAGTAAATAATCTATTTCGCATTTCTGTATTTGCCCTAGGACGTAATCCTGTGTAGTGGATGTTCTTGTGCACTTGACTTGTGTATCACGGCTTTAGCTCAAGAAGGCCAAAACATCTTAATTCCACGTCCCGGTTTTTCGATCTATCGAACGTTGGCGGAGGGTCTTGGTATCACGGTTAAATCGTACGACTTACGTGTGAGTATTCCTCTCGACAAAAGAAAATCACAACGTCTTCATACGTATTAAACATAAATATATTTTATGCAGCAAAATATGTGTATTTAATAATAAATAATAAAATAATATAATAATTGATTTTGCACGAATATATTGTTATTCGGTATAAATTTCAACGTACGAGTAGATATTATCTTAAACGCAGAGCTTTAAACGTAACTAATCAATAACCGCTTGACTGTCGATAATTGTGAAAATGAATTATGTCATTTACACACACAAGTGATATTTCAATATAATAAAATTTATCGATTTACGCGTGGCAACTACTGGTTTTCAGTTTTGCTCCTGCGGATGATGACGAATTAAAAACGTGAACTACACGTTTGACTAGATTGTTGTATGGATTATTTAAAATTCGTTCATTGTGTAACGATTATATTCGTGTGATAATTCGATCATTATACAAATACATTGAAATTGTTTTACCAAATATTTTGAATAGAAATAAAACGACTGTTTCAAAAAAAAAACACATAATAAAAAACCAAATTTTTTTCAGAGACATAAACGAATTTATTTATAAAAATGCAAAAATTTAAAAAGAGAAATTGTGCTTTTTAAATAAATTCTTTTTTTTTAATTATATTATATCGCGTGAATATTTTAAAAATTTATATTAACTTTTAAAATTTTGAATTGTTTAATAATTGAATTATTTGTTTAATATGCATTCTAAATCATACAGATAATCAACTGCGCAATGAACACTTGCTTTTCATATTCTCGTGATAAAATACAAAATGTTGATCAATACCGCAGTGACAGCGGTACTCTGTAATAATCGCGCCTGTAAAAGAGAAGATAGTATTACACGCTACCATGTTATACCGTCATTAATAAGAAACATGCATAACAGGCGTCCGCCATATTTCTTAAGTTACGCATTATTATAAAACGCACATCAAGAGACAATCAGGCTTAGTAAACGGCTTTATATGCAAAAATATTCCATTTCGTTAATATCTTTAAATTTATTAACCGTCCGTATGGCGTGAATATCACGAAAAACAATGAGTGTGCATAATATCCTGTTTTAGTATGCACGAGAGCAGATTGCAGATGAAATTTTTTATCATAAGCCACGTTAATTACATATATATATATATATATTTTTTTTTTCCGTTCATAATTCGTATAGTTTTTAATATTCATTCCTTCGATTAAAATAATATGCTATCGGTAATTTTCCTCATCATCGCTAAAATATTTTTGCGCCTAAACTGAAAGAGCCGTTATTATACTAGCGTTTTCGCGGTCGATGCGTGCATAATTAATGCAAGATTAAAATCGTGAATAATTCATGATTTTTATCTTGATGGTGTTATATGTAGCTTATCAGAAATGAGATCGATGACCTCGCTTGTTCGCTATCTCGACTTCACATCGTAAAACTTTGGAAAACTTTAAATCATTGGCAGGCCGTAAAATAAATTGAATTTTGCATATTTTTGTAGAAGGTACAATTAAAAACTGTTCTTTTCAACTAAATTACGCAGTTTATATTCCTCCAGAAAGAGTAAATTACTTTTTATTCATTAAAACGTATTTTTAGCGATCAATTTTCTACCCTTGAAGAAATTTAGAATATCTGACTTTTCTATTGTTGGCTATGAGTAAATTTTCACCCATGAATAGACACGTGATATTCTCGGTGCTCTTTTTTACGTATTCTTTCGTAATATCGTGCTCTCTTCCTGGATTCTCAGTTATTGCTAACGTGCCAAGAAATAAAAATTTATATATATTTAAAATTTTTATTTCCTATCGGTTTTTCAAATAAAATTTAAAGTTTGTAATAACAATTAAATGGTGGACAATTTTTATTCGCTCTTATTTTAGCTTGCTAAAAGTATTTAATTTTTAATATTAAATAATTTAATTATTTCGAAAAATTTTGTTAATAAAAGATTTTATTTTGGAAAGATTTTATTTCTTCCGCAAAGTAGTCACGTAAAATTTGGAGCCAATTGAAACCGTCATTGCATAATGACTTTAAACGATACGCAATTATATTTAAATCATCCTACACTACAATAAATCCATGCTTTCGCTCGGAGATTCTTCAAATGTTAAACCCAAGTGCTAATGAAGCAATTTCCACCCTTTTCAACTTCGCTTACCGGCAAGTTTTAACATCTGGCTCGCCTTTGCTATGTATCGTTGGAAAGTATTTTACTTTTCTAAGAAGTAATTACAACCGTAATGCTGTAGCTTTAATTGTCTACAAGGCGGAATGTGCAGGGAATTCGTAATCCATCCCACACCGCGCATCTTCTCACACATCACGTATTCGCATAAATATTGTCACTTATGAACGTAAAGTCTTTTAAAATCTGTGCAAATGTCCCGGCAATTTTATTGCTGTGTACATTTTATTCCTACCTCGCTCATATATCTATGTATTTTATTCCTATTAAATATGTATCTCTAGATATTATTTTATTTAAAAAAGAGCATACATGAAAATACATTTACCCAAAGTATCATAAATTGTTTTCATTTAGCGCGATATAATTTCGCCAAAAAAAGTTAAATTTCTGTTCTAACATGGACTTGTAAAAAAAAAATTTTTTTGAAATTGTTATCTAAATATTTTTACTGCGGTAAAATTCGATTCGCAAAAAATTCAAAACTGTCAAAGAATTTATGTAGAAAAAGCGCGCGATTTTTCCGAGACACCTTGTACATTATAAGGGAGAGAGGATATGAAGATCCGAGAGAGGGCCATTCACGAATGCATCCTATTAATATTAATCGTTCGTTTCGCAGCCCGAACTCGGTTGGGAGATCGATCTGGACGACCTGGAGGCGCAAATCGACGAGTCGACGGCGGCGATTGTTATAAACAATCCTTCGAACCCGTGCGGTTCAGTGTTCAGTCGCGACCATATACTTGACATTCTCGACATCGCCGCTCGTTATTACGTACCCATTATAGCCGATGAGATTTACGAGCACATGGTACGTGCCCGAATATTACGCTTTCCCCGCAAGTATCAAGTGACAAATCGTTTCATTTGCGGGCTTCGAAATAAAGCGCGCGAGCGCCACGTCCTTTTGTTTCCAAGGGGATACGCAATTAATTCGGAACGCGAATATGCAAAGCCCGGTGACCAAAATCCGGAGAGGTTGCGCTGCGCTTCGTTGTCGCGTCAAGAGTATAATTTTTATTCGTAACACATATACGGCAATCAATTGCAATCGAATCGTAAAGAAAATGTATTTTACAATAATCAAGTTTTACAATAATTTTACTAAAGGAATTCAATTTCACTCATAAAATATTTTTTTTTCTTTTTTTTTTTAATGGGTTAAAATGTGAATCTTCTTAAAAAGATTTACTTTAACAATATATGATTTATATTGTATAAAAGAATTTCATGAATTTTTATAATTAAAATTTTATTATTGCAACTTAAAACATAAAAGTACTCATACAAATTCTATGTGATTTTTTATGTGATTTATTTTTATGTGACGTATAATGGAAGCAGAAGCTTTTTTTAAAAAAATTCAATGAGACGAAGTAATGTCTGGGTTGTCACTACTTTGCGTTATTTTGTGTCACATGCAGGCGATACGTACCTATTATGCGCAAATACATTTTTCGCCTCTCCTCTGTTTTCAGGTATTTCCAGGACGGACTTTCCACTCGTTAGCGTCTCTATCGACCGAAGTTCCTATTTTGTCGTGCAGCGGACTGACTAAAAGGTATGTTGGAACGTGAAGTGACTGTGAAACTCCCGTATTTCGGTGTTGAAACCCGGGCGCGAGATCTTGCGTAACATTTTAGAATTTTTACGCGCAAAGTTAATGTATAATTTTCTATTAAATAAAACGACCGGCTGGCTATTCTACCTCTTGAAACAATGCCATGTTATATATTTAATGTTTAATGGTTTAAAAAACCAAGAGAGAGGTCAAAAGTGATGAAGATAGTCGACCTGAAATATAAGAATTTTCGTAGCATAAAGCTTTAATATTTGATTTAAAAAAGCGCGTTTAAACTCAAGAATTTAAAAAAATTTAAAGAATCTAAATATTTATTTCCTTGAAAAAAAAATATATATATGCACGCACTTTACATTTATTTTAAATATTATATAAATACGGTAATATATATCACTTAAAAATAATTTTAAAAATATAGCGCTTCCTCTTCAGTTTTTTTTATCAAGTTTTTTCTTACTTTCAGTACGTTACCTTCTATTATCTTCTTCCATCGCGCGAAAATATGTAGCGAAACTAACGATTCGTGAAGTTGACGAAAAGATTCCTTAGGAGCGAAAGCGTGCGCGTTCCGCTGTAAAATTTTTCGTCCGATTTTCGAAAATAAGGCGAGGGTTGATCGAGCGTGAATAAAACGTTCGCAATCAAAGCCGAAAGGACGTTATTGCAAAGTTTCGTGATTATGCTTCCATTGTTCTGACGGTATCAGATTTGAAACGCAACTTAATTTACGATCGCTATACCAGTCGTAAACGAGTTCCTCCAGCTGTTGCTAAATTTTTCATTGTAAAGTACAATGTATTTTACATGCCATAATTTTCGATATTAAGGATAAATCGTAAATAATAAATAAGGTAAATAAATAATAAATAAGAATTTTTTATGCAAAATTCAACGATATACATATACATATAATATTCGAAATAAAAATTATGATATAATCGATTATGAAATGAAAATAAAATATAAAGCAAATAATGGATGAATTACATAAATATGCTATAATGTGATAATTTAATAATAGTAAGCTAGACAAGCTATTAGTTAATAAGTAAAAGTCGTGTAATGCAAATTTCTCTTAAAATATGATACTTGAAATATATATTAAAATGAATATTTTATAATCAAAATTAATTAAATCTTTCTCCCAAAGAGTTTTTGTATATAATAATTAACTGCATATGAAATATTCTGATTCACTTGGAATAAATTAATTAAACGTGAATTGCCGAGTTCTATGCTTCTTTCATTTAACACAATAATATTCGTATTAATGAGAAGAAAAATCGAAAAAGAAGAGTATAATGATTCTGCTCGCAAAATCAAAATGAAAATGAGATTATTTTAATATAGGATTATATCGTTGATTGTATTCATAATAGACATTATTAATAAAATGATAGCAGATTAATAATTGTAATTATGATTTAAGCCTTTCCTCCACATTCAAAGATAAAAAAATTATCTTGGGGAATAAAGGATATATATTTTATATATTGAATTTGTGGCGCACGCAAAACTTTTTGCAACTGTACAATAATTGCCTTGAGAAATAACGTTCTAAATGGAATTGCATGCAGTAATAAAAAAATAGATCCTGTTATTCTATGAAAGCTTAGATTTTGCCTTTGTATTGCAACAATTGGGGCGAGACTCTTTACGTTATATTAAAATAATTTCTATATATTAAATAATTTTGAAAAATATTTAAGGAAATCAATAAATATCAAAATTAAAATTTATAAATCAATTTATCAATCGTATAATATAATTATTTGTATAGAAGAGCATATTTCAGTTTTAAACTATATATAAAAATTTTTTATTGTGGTACAAAATTATCCCTTATAAGAAGTGAAGTAACCTTGACAGTAATCTGTAAAATGAAATCTGACAACAGATACTTAGTCATATCTTGTTCTCTTTTTTTTTTACAGATTTCTGGTACCAGGCTGGCGCATGGGATGGATAATAATCCATGATCGTCAAAATGTGCTCGAAACTGAGGTGAGTAAACAGTACTGGCGCAATACGTGATAGTTCGAAAATAATTGCTTCTCTGGCGGCATTGTTTCCGTAACGAGGTAGGGCATATCGCGGCGAGTTCGGCATCGCACACTATAGATTTGATTAAATTTCGTTGATTAAACTTTATTCTGCCATGAAAGTTTCGGTCCTTTGGCAACCGGCGCCAATCGTATCTTTAATTCCTTGCAAAGGTGCATCACCTTTGAACGAACTTTGAACCGTCGCGTCGCGCATCGTTACTAAATATATATTTGTGTTCTTTAATAACTTTCGCAAGTCTTTTCGCCATTTCAGATAGGTAATCAAAATAAGATTTCTGAGAGAAAATCCAATCGAAAAGTTTCATTCAAGCGTATATTGCTGTGTAAAAAAATTTCTATGTAAGACATTTCAACCAAAGAATTTCTCTTTTATTGCTACGCTTTATGATTTTATAATACAAAATTTCTCAAATAAGTTTCAAATAAAATTAATCAAGATAAAATTTCTAAAACGTATCTAAAACATAATATAAAAAGCAATTAATCTCTTTCTTTTTTCTGTTTTCCACACGTCCACATATTCATTATTTTATTATACATATATTATTTTCTTTAAAAAAAAAAAAAAATTGACTGTGTGTGACTCTTTGATAATGTTTTCTGATGAGCGAATATTGTAGGCTGATAAATATTTGTCGATTTGCGGCATGTTCGATGTTTCACAATATTCAAAGTCTGTGAGAAATGCTACCAAGTCTTTAGAAGTGATTTCACACGGAACTCGACATGTCCAAGCTTGAACTCGCTTTTCAAAGTTTCTATGTCTGTTCAGATTTACAAGACACAGCCTGACATATAATCTTTCCTGTATAAATCGCGTTCTTCCAGAAGTTGTTCATTTTATAATATATTTATTATTTTGCTAACAATAAAAAATATTGCAAAACAGTAAAAAAAATTATATATGTAATTAATATATATAATAGACTTTTAATAAATTTTTAATTTACTGTTGTTTTTAGATTCGTAAAGGCTTGCATTGCTTAAGTCAACGGATAATTGGCAGTAATACAATTATTCAAGGTGCCTTGCCTGCGATACTTCGTCAAACACCACAAAATTTCTTCGACGATGTTATCCATACTTTATACGTAAGTTTTCCCGATTTTGAAAATATAATGGACATATATAAATTAATTTAATATATAAAATTCGCAATATTACAGTCACACTCCAAATTGGCATACAGCTGCATAGTAAAGATTCCGGGCCTGAAGCCGATAATGCCGGACGGAGCGATGTATATGATGGTAATAATTTCCGTTAAAATTAACTCGGCCACACCCTTGTTTAATTCCAAGAATCACAACGTATTGTTTGACAGTCCCTAGCTCGCGGGATAAAGCAGTAAATATTAATTGAATGCCCGATAAATAGGTCGTATAATTAGTCGGTGCACAACCGCCATTTATACGTTATACACAAATACCATCAGCAAGGTGGACCGACTGTAATTTACGAGCTATAAATTATTGAATCGATTTCTAGGTCTACATCGATCTATCGTGTTTTCCGGAATTTAATTCCGACCTGGAATTCGTACAACGACTGCTAATGGATGAATCCGTGTTCTGCCTGCCCGGCCAGGTTCGTTTCTGACGTTTAAATTATTAATCATTTTTAAGTCTAAATTATCATCTCGCAAATTCGTGCACGTATACAAAAAAAAAAAAAAAGAAAAAATACCAAAACTTTTTGAAATTACATATTATGGTATGCCGATATTTAATGCTGACGTTTAAAATATCGTAAAAAATCAAAACATTACTTTGTCATGATAATTTGCTGCACAAATATTTAAATATAAATTCCTTTTAATAATTAATGTGAATGCAAAGTGTTCCACAAATACTTTCAATATATTAAATTGCAGAAACTGTAAAACAAATTTATTGCAATAATTCTGCAGTGGGTGGATATTAAACTTTTAAACAATAAATTCGAAAATTATTTATTAATCAATAAATCTCGATTTGAGCTTGTTTTTTTATCTCTCTTTCTACATCTAACACATCAAAAGTATCAAATATTTTAATTATTTATTTATATTACAAGAATCCATACAATCCGTTATTTTAAATATACAATAATAATAATAATTTAATAATAATAATAAGTTAATTTTATAATTACGTCTATTTTTTTACTAGGATAAAAGACACGATTTTGCACATTTCTACTATATTTTTTGATACCTTATTCAAGGGAAGACTATTTTTTAATCATAAAAGCACGTTAGTTTAAAAAAAGCTTCTTAAAAGTGTAATGTGATTTTACTGATCTTTCATATTCACGTTTAATTCCCTAGTGCTTTGATTATCCCTCTTACATGAGACTGGTAATCACTGTACCGGATGACATGCTCGAGGAAGCTTGTCAAAGGATTCAAGAATTTTGCGAGAGACATCATTATAAAACGGCAGAGATCGCAGGGAGAAATAGTTTCGTCGATGTGGAAATTCCATATTAAAAAACAGTCCACCATATGTCAGAGTCTCACTAATATTTGCATTAACTCGCTGATTATCTCTCACATAGATTGCGTCCGAAAAAAATCTTTCAGCCTTGGTTTTTGCTCTTGTGTATATGTATATGTATCTTTATTTCTACGTTTTTATCTATATAAAATCTACATCTTTTGTATCTCTACTTTTCTTGTAAGTATTGAGTTAAACGGAAAGTTCGTGCCGTTTTTTGCTAACAGATGAAGACCGAAAAAACGGCACGAACTTTCCGTTCAACCCAATATATGATTAGATAATAAATGTTGATTATATGTGATTTAAATAGTTTTTATATATTTATGAAAATGTTGAGATTACGATAGTTTCCGATTAACCGAAAGTTGGCTAATGACATACTTATTAAGTAGCATGCGCGAAAATGTCGAACGTACGATCAACAGCAACTTCACTCTAATGCCACGCGATACTACGCGAGTCGAGTTAATAGTTAATCAAGACACAATGGATCGCGCGAAAATATATAATCGTAATTTGGTATTCGACGCGAATGCATTTTAATCGCAAAAATTACGCCAAATACAAAGCCTTATTAATAAAAAGTCAATATTCCACGATCATCTATTAATCAAATCACACGATCCGGCAATTCGCATTTATTTCGCGCTCTCAATTGAGAACATGAAGTATTACATTTAAATCGGCAAAATAAGCAAAAAAAAGCTCGAAGTAAAATATAATATAATCGAAAAATATAGAGGAGTAATTATAGATCGGAAGCAACAATTAATTTCTCGCGAATTGGAATGATATCCTTTTTTCAAACGAATAAATCGCGCAAAATGCGATTGTCTAGAGAGATATCCGTCGTCTCAACATTATGCATTGTCGATCTAAAAAGTGGATTAATCACGCTCGAAGTGATCGTAAATAATTACGGGAAAATAATATTCGCGACGACGCACGGAGCGACTTGTCTCTGCCGGCCGACTGTCACCTTGCGAATGACAGCAAGGTTACTACGACGGTGGTAACATTCCACCGCTCTGTACGCAAAAGAAAAAAACATAGGACGTGTACCAATATGCCGATCCCCTCCCCTGTACAATATTTTTATGTATTATTACACTCACACACACAAAGTAAAATATGCTAAATATATTCTATTTTCTTTACGTTTTAAATTGATATTTCGATGTGAATGATTTATTATCGCACATTTTGCACTTGATTTTGTGATGTTAACGTCATTTAAGTTAACGATTAATATCGCTCATTTGATAGCGAAATCTAATATATGTACCTAAATAAAGACTATTGTCGACGATATTGTTATTTAAATTTAAATTTTATTATGTTAGAATTTTACTGATATGTAAATTTATTTGAGGAGCAAAATTCAATTTTGCTTGAAATGTAAATAATATCTATATACATTTTTTTTTTTTTATTGTTATTAAGTACGCATTTCAGATTTTACATTCTGGAAAAAATAAAATCGTGTGATTTTTAATGAATTCAAAAAATGAAATTACATTACACTGCAAAAGATAAATTATTATTAGTATATATTTTATTGTTCGGACACACATTACGCAGAAATGGTTAAACTAATTTTTGCAAAACTTGTGGTGTATCTTACAATCGATCCAACTTGGAATATTGGCTACATGCCATAACAGGATTTCCTTTGAAAGGGGAGTTGCGAGGAGAACTCAACTCAAAAATGGGCGTTACCGTGCTTGCTATTGATTTTACGACAAGAATTCGCATGATAGAAATTATAAATTGTTAGCTTTTGAATTCCAGAAAACCCGATTGGGATGAATAAAGCTTGTTTCTAAAATTTACCAAAGAGATAATAGGTTTTTGAATGTACCACGAAAGTGGAAATAGAAATATAATCCTGTAGTTTCATTAAATCAATTTTTTGAAATAAATGATCTCTTATTTCAAGTACATTTTATCACGAGTGGTTTCTGCCGCTCTGATAATATCGTAGAATATTATTTCCATCGTATAAATTATATTTATTCATTCGGGTTATAAATGTAATCGAGTAATACACGTATTTCTTGCCACTATAACATTGCATTCATAATTTATATTATAACGCTATAAGTTAGTACGTGATTTTTCTAGTCGCGTTCTCCAGGCAGTTCCAGGTGCAAAATTTTTTTTTTTTACCATACAAACGTAGGGACGGAAAAAAATCGCAGCGTTATAAATCCTGCTGCATAGCGGAGTACAAAAATTAGAATATGTCGAGCGTCGTCGCGTTGTTTTTGGCGAATCGCGGCAGTGCCACTGTTTGCGTTAACAATTTATGCACTTTTTAAAGAAGCAGAAATAATCCTGTATGCTGCGTATATAATCTTCTTTCTTTAGAAATATTGATTTACTAAAAATTATATTTTAACTTGTACTCGCCAAGCAACTGTGTCAATAGATTATAATTTTATTTCTTACGTTATCATTTTTCATAATTTTATTACATTACATTTTAATCCTTACGCTTTATTTCTCTCTATCTTTCTCCCTTTTAAACATTCCTCTTTTCTTCCTCTCTCTTTATTATTTTATTATGATTTAACCAGAAATGTACCTACCTCGCGTGCATGAACTTTGCCTGTGTAAATCTCTGGTAATTCAATTAGAGATGCGATCAAGCCATAGCTGGACCATCGATATCATCGAACGTGCTATCGAAATACTTAATTGGAAGCGAAATTTGAACGTTATATTCTTCTATAAAAAGATTTATCGCAATACCGTAAAATCCGAATAGTCGAAATGGTCGAACAACAAAATTGGAGTAAATCACAGAAAAATAAACCAAGTATCGTGATTTATAAAACTGCGGTCGTTTTTTGTTTCGGTTAAACGTATAATCCAGTCTAATTTTGACGTAGTAATCAAATTTTCATGAATTTGGCATACAAAAAAAAAAAATTTACGTTCTATTAAAAAGTTCAATTTTATTATTTTTGTTTATAAAATCGAAAAATAAAATCTGTTATTTATAATAAAATCGGCTATAAACAAATGAAAATGGATCTCAGCGAGGTGAATGATCCGGACACATTCAATAAATCCGGAATCATAGTATAATAAAAGCACAGATTTGTAGCTATTTGTTAGTAAGTGAAATACTACATAATGATGGTGATTGTGAGGCATTTCTCACTTGAGAAGATATATGATGCAAATAATGAAAGGAAATTGCAAATTTAGTTGTCACTTTCCGGAATTTCGCCGTTTAAAGAAAATAGGATATTCTTTCCGCTAGAAATATTTTCGTACACAAATTATCCTTAATTAGGGTTCACAAAGTAAAATTTTTGTTACAATTTGTTCATTTTATTTTCTATTATTTATATTCCCAGAATTACATATTACTCTCTAGGAAATTGTGTTTTAATCAAAATATCCATAAATTTGTGCAAATAATTTTACTTAATTTATTAGGTACTTATTTTATTATTTATTAGGAATTTTGCTCTGAATATAATTCATTACCTTTGAGTTTCATAATCAACATTTGGTACTTTATCTAAATAATATGCTGTACAAACTGTTTATTGTTAGTTGCAAAATTCAATTAATATTATTATATTAAGGTCTTAATAATATGTATTGCAGTTCAACAATCCTGGTAGTACTATATTCAAGTTGTTGGAAAAAGCATTACACACTGACTTGCATTTCCGAGTACTTTTGAAAATATTATACTTTGTGTGATTCGCACAGTTCACCGAGCACGATTCCTAGTATAACATTATCGAACGTTTATATTGAAAAAGAGAAATATGTTTTGTATTGTCGGGATGTAACATCCTCTTATTTTGATCGATTTCCTTCGTAACACTTTAAAATTTAACTTTAAATATTTTTGTTGACCATAGCTATTAAAATTGCATTAAAATAATATCTATTTAAAAGAAAAAATACAATCTTAACTATTTGCATTCCTAAAGCATTTAATTAGCTGAAAATCCTCGAGCTACTTGCAAACTTGGTTCAAGAAAAACCTACTTCAAATTGTTCTCCAAAGTATATATTTGTACGGAAAAGAGTGCGAAAAATTAAGATGACCTATATATCTGAAGTTTTACCAAAACTTTTTTGTATACATATATTCGATTTGTTTTTTTTCTCTTCTCTCTTTTACTATATTTAAAATAAGAGCACACACGATAATTTTCCCGAAATCCATTGAATGTGTTTTCTATTTGGACCATCGTGTTATTGGAAAAATAAACGACGTATACCAGTCGATATATTAATAGATATTTATTTTCAACATAAATCACGCACTCTATACTGCTATTCGCGTTCCTCTGATAAAAAAAGAAGGAAAATAAGGGAGCACACAACGCAGCAAAGGAACGAAAGGAAAGGGAAACTGCATTGTTTCTACAATAACTTGCAACACGTTCGTTACTTCAGTATTTCGTCGCCAACGTTTTGAGATATTCTTGTAGTGATACTATTAATGTTACAGCAGTTTACAAAGAACTTAATATTAAATAAAAATTGATGTTACATATAATAAAAACATGGTATTACATAAAAACAAAGTATAAAAAATAGCTCTAACGTTTCTAAAATTAGAAAAAAATGATAAGTATTGCGATTTATATGATTTAATATTTTTTAGAATTAAAATACAAAAGAAATATATTTATAATTTATGTGTTTATTAATCATTGTAGATCATAGATAATTCTAAAACTAAACAGTGTTTAAGGAAGCTTTCAAAATATCTCTTTAAAAATCGCAATTTCTCAAACTCATCTTAAAAAAGACAAGCTTATTTATTTTGAAGACCATAAAGCAAGGTGGCATCTTGTGAAGACAACATGAAAGCTTGGAAGATGAGCTTAAACGTCGAAGTTTCAAGCAAGTGTTTTTGTTCCGGGTTATAAAACTAGAAGTTATTTAACTTTTTTGTGTTATAGGTTTTATTCGACAAAACTTGGCTATTTTTTAATTGCTATAATATTTTATTATATTTATATTATTTTATATTAAAAAATTTTATAATTTTTGATATTCGAGAATATTTTAATATTATATTATACACACACATTGCGCTCTTAAAAATTGAATTTAGATATCAGATTTCTCTGCAAAAGGAACAAAGATGAATCTTTACTTTTGAGACTATGTAATATTGAAGACTTTTCGCTTTTTCTAATTCATGCAAATATTCAAAAATAAATAATTATCTCTCTTTAATTTGTATAATAGCGATAATAATAATACTGTGGATATTTCGGCTCAGAGAATGCCATATTGTCCATATTGTCAAGCAAAGCAATTAATTTCTGAACATAAACGTATAAGAGATGGGTCACAATATGATTATACCATAAACGATATTATGTTATAACTGAGAGCGGAA